GCGGCAGTGGGAGGCCAACGCGCCACACTGACAAGTCCTCAGCTCACACACGTGCATGTGGATTCCAGGCACAGTCCGGTGATCACGTTATGATCACAGGGACTGAGGGGTTCAATCCACAGAATGGATGATGTCTGACAGAAAGTATTCTGAGTCCCTGCGACCCCGCAGCAGCAAAAGCAAAGATAACCACGCTCTGGGAGTAAAAACATGTGCTGGTTAGCGCTTCCAAAGCAACCGGATCTCTACGCCACTGGTTTATGGCACAGCAATGGTCTACAGTCAAGACACATTCTTTCATACAAAACGCTGATGAACTGACTTGAGCTACATGCAAATAATAGATAACTAAAATTTTTAAAAAAAACTCAAGGTAAGCAATTGCCATTGCATCAAATGGATGACGCTGATTCAGCACGCACAAAAGCTGAGAAACATTTCATATCCGTCCAACAGAGGCAACTTCAGCCGTCAAGTCATCGTAGGAAAAGATTCAATTCTCAATGGCACAAATTTGAATCACATCGATAAGCCCTGTCCTCCCTGGACGTGTTTATAACCACAAAACATCGGCCAAATGCATAGTTAAAATCTAAAATGTCGATGAAGATGAGAGATGGGAAAGTAAAGGGGATGAGGAGGGGGTGTACGACCATAATACTAAGCAAAAAGAGACTGAAGTGCACTGCGGCATCCCAACAACAATAAATAAATTTGAAAAAAGTAAGGGAGGAGTTTGGTGTGTAAGCAGATGAATGACTGAGGATTGAATAGAGGAAAGAGAAGGACCTGGATTCCAGGGCTAACAGAGTGCAACGGGAGGAAGGAAGGACGGTGGGTAGTACACGTGTGACAGTGACAGCAGCGGCATTCAAGCGGAGGGGCGCCCTGGGAGGCCGGAGGAACCAAGAAGACAAGAACAAAAGACATGTTAAAAAAGAATCCAGGGGAGGAGTGAACAAAACACATTTCATCGTACTGAACCGACACTGAGGAAATCCACGTTCGTAAAGCAGTTCGACAGCTTCTGTTTTCTCCTGAGCTCAGCTGACCCTGGAGCAGTGAAGCTGTAGTAAAAATCCCTCCTTCACTCATCGGCAGAATGAAACACAAAATAATCACAACGCACATCTGTCTGTTTCATCCCCCTGATTTGGCTGTTTGCACCTCTGCTCTCTATGATCACGTGGAACTACTTTGTGGTTGAATTGTTCTTTTGTTTTGTTTTTTCCAATCCTTTTGTGGTGATCTGCGTTTGTTCGGGTAATTTTGTGACACGGTTGAGTTGTTCTGCCTCTCTGAAGCCTTTCTGTCTCTTTAAGGCCATACACGTTCACACTCCTGCCAGATCTCCTCCAGGGAGGATCACATTTGGCAAACACGCAAATTAGACATCTTCATAAAAGCCTTTTTCTAATTACTTTAAAGCAGAAAGTGAGGGTGTTATGTCAGGTCCTTTCCATATCATGCACTCGGATTAAATGGGCTTTCTTCATTTCCATGACTGTCACATGCATTATCCGCTGGTGAGTTGGCCAGCTTTTTGCTTGGGATATGCAGTCTTTTTTTTCCCTTATTTTTTTCTTTTTTTTTTACAGAAATCACTAGATCCAGCCAGGCTCATTATGCAGAGCTGTGGTTTCTCTGCATATTGTCTTTAGCGGCAGAAAAATTGAATCATCTTTTTTTCTTTTTTTTTTTGCAGGGGTGTGGTCAGACAGCCTGCAGGCTCCCTGGGGTGACACCGGTCAGCGAATGCTTATCACTTGCTGCCCGAGAGGTCAGTACTTCAATGCATCACTAAAGGGGTCGTTTGAGCAACACGCTCCAATCAAACGAAAGGAAGCGGCGCAGGATCAAATGGGGGGGGCTGAGGTCTGATGAAAGTCCCAGAGGAAATCAATCACCTGCCCCTGAACAACAAATAAAACTTTCATTCATCACTTTTTGTCAGAGAGAAAATTTGAGGCCCTCTCGCTGCTCAGCGCTGGAGGAAAAAGTGGGTCATCGGGTCTGCCGTTTTCTTTCCGAATGACAACGGCTCGAGCACGTGTCTCTGACCGGCCTTTGACCTCGTAAACCGTGGCGCGCAGCCCTGCTGAAGGTACTCACCGCCGACCGGCGCGCGCTGCTCCACGACTGAGACGCCGGGCGGCTGGCTTTGGTTTCCACGAACTCTGAGGGCAGGGACGAGGGGGGCACGTACTGTCTCGCCCTGGCCTGAACGGCCATTTGATAAGCCACCTCAAAAGCCTGGCCCAGTGTCAGGATGATCTCGTAGGTCTGCGTCTGTGAAAAAAAGACCTCAGTGTTCAAATCACAGACGCTGAACGATCAGCACAACGATGGAAGAAAAGAAGCAATGCTCAGTTGATTTAAACGGATTAAAATGACAATTTTAACAACTCATTTTACACAGATGGGCTGTGGTTCGCATTTATTGGATAACTGCATAGTTTAATCATCAATTTGCTGCTGTTTGAATTTGAGGATTAAAGTAGTTCAAACAAGCAAATAAGTTCAGTTAAAATGAAACCCAAACTGATAATATGTAGGCCTCAATAAGCTTTAATTCCAATTTCCAAACAAAATATGGCATTACAAAAGAGGAAGATCTTCAAGGCGTATCAAATATTATGGACAATGGATCCAGCCATTGATTTACATATTCAGTGCAGTCTGGGTTCGATATGATGCATAATAACTTTTATTAACCAGCAGTAAAAATCAAGTTCAAAGCCACTTTAGCTTTTAGTTGTAGACTGTAGCCAAAACCCGGGACTGTTAAGTATATCTTAATGCCTCAGTAAATCATAAGGACCAGGAGCTGCTCTCTAAAGACCCAAACCAAATAGATCTTCGGTTCTATTTGATTTGTTCTTTGCAGTAAGGGGGGCCTCTATTAGAATGTTGTCTCTATTGTGTCCCACTCTGGTTGGATCCCATAATTCCAAACGGCGACATAATGCAGCTGGATTGCTATGCTGTTTCCCACAGAGAACCTGACTTGTGGTTGGCTTTTGTTTGTCATATTCAACACAAAACAAATTACTCAAAGTCCAAATGCGGCAAATCTGAACCACTATTTAATCACTAAACAACAACTTGGGTTCAGATCAAACAATCCCATGAGTCTTTGCTTTAAACAGGGCTGCCACATTACCCTCAACAACAGGTGAAAGAAGGCAGAGCTCTAAGCATTCTATACTCTTCTCACCTGGCTTAGACAGACACAAAACTACCACCAACAATGCAAAACATTGAAAGTTATTTAAGTGGATGGACTTTGTCATTAAAAGATAAAAAGAAGAGAGACATTTTGAGTCCAATAAAACATCCAATAGTCCAATAAAAGTCCAATAAAACATCCAATAAATGAAGTAAAATGTCAAAATATTCTACTCTGTGCTCCTTTTAAATATGGTTGCCTCATGCTGAAGTGCTCAATCTGCTACGCATTAAATGATGTTGTGTGCAGAAGTCGCGACACAATTTCTCATCTGCACGAGTCGAATCAAGACATCTAATGAGCCAATCAAGAAAAACAATGTCCCCTGGGTGATTGCAGGCAGGTCTAACTGCAGGGTGTCTGATATCCCACCAGGAACATCAATTTTCATACATGATTGCTCACTAACCCACGAAAAAAGCTGCTTGAATTTGTTCCGAGTTCTGTTCCGACTGTTACAGTACAACAAAAAAGTCTGGATCCTCACCACTTCCACGGTGCTGAAGACGTGACAGAAGTGGTGGCCACTCTTCAGGTCCTTTGTGATGTATGCGAACGTACAAAGGTCGTCCGGGTCCTGGGCAGCGCACGAGATGTTCCTGATCTCGTGCTCGGCAACTATGGTCTAACACGGAGAAAGGACATTAAGTCAACATCTAATGAACGGTGTCACTAAAATCTGCTGCATTGTGCTGCCTGCACAGACCAACCAGCACACACACACACACACACACACACACACACACACACACACACTCGTGCTCTCACAGTACCTTTGTGGCTGCATCAATGAACTTGACCCCCCTATAGGTAATGGAAAGTATGACAACAGGACCCTTTTTGGAATCCTTCGATTTCTGAAAAGGGCACAAAAAGGAATGAACTAATTAATCCTTTGTCATTTGTCATCAGTAGATTTTAATATGAAAAAGCTGCTCGTCAGCTATTTAATAAACAGGAAGTTTACCCTTTTATTTATTACCCTTATGCTATAATATTGCTGCTTTTAACAAAACAACTGTCAGTCGTTCAATAAAGGTCAGGATTAATAAAATCAGAAGGAGAGAAAAAAAAAACAGATTACCATAAATCCTTACCCTAATTTTTGCGCAGGCATCTTGTGTGGACTCAATTCCTCGTAGATCCCTGATTATCATCGATCCTAGATACTTGGAGGGAGAATTAAAACACAGTTACAGATACAATTTGGTCCCGGACATCGGACAACAACAAATTCTGATAACAGAGATGCCCAATGTTGTCATCTTAAATCCGATCTGTTTGTCAGGACTCTATTTCAGCCTCTGTGCTGAGGACTGTAAAAGGGGACTTACTGTTGCCTCGTACCCGCAGGACTCCAGGATGAGTTTTTCGGGCTGGTGATGCCAGGCGGACACTGTGGCATACGTGGCGGATTGACTCGGTGGCCGGAGGTTTAAGCGAGACTCTTTGTGTCGCTCACTGTGTCTGTCCTTTAGTCAGAAAAAAAAATAATACGGGGATTTTAGACACAGACACTGAACTATGCAATAAAACCTAAATTAATCTACACTACATCTCACATTGTGTTAAGGCAGCATGAGAAGCGTTTTTTGCTTTCCTTTGATTCCTCATATAAATTTGTGTCTCGGCTTTTGGCGTAAAAGACTTCTGTCTGTTGTTTATCAGTGAGAACAGCTGAGGTTTGAGCGGTCAGCACTTTAGGGGAAGTTGCTTTTGATATGCTCGCGGCCTTATAAATATTCAATAATGTAGGGCCTTTAGGTCTGTAGGATGCGCTCAGCTCTTTAATAAATCACTTGTCAGGAGTAAAATATAATAGCAAGGTTTTAGGGGAAAGGCATTGATTTAACAAGTCAGGCCTCCTGAGCAGTGCAGTTTCTTCCCCCTTCATGGAAGCCCCTCTCTGAGTCAGAAACAGGGCGTGCCAACTTCACTCTTTAAGCTGTGTTTGACCTGTTGCGAGGGCTAAAACTTGACCACTGAATCTTTTTTGGGTCACTCTCTCACGGATTAACCCGAGAAATTCAAGGAGGCTGAAATTCACTTGTGGCAGTCAACAAAGTTCATGAACAGCTGTGAGGCACAGCAGACTTTTTTATTTTTTATTTCAGCAAAATGAAGTTCAGATTCATATGTCATATTAATCCACGCAAATAATTCTATGTGAGTAGTAAAAAGTAACAAATATATGTCATACAGGTTTTGGCGTGTGTGTATTTGAATATCTTTTTGCAAATGTTATCCCGAAACTTGAAACAGAATGGTTAACTGTCAGTTAATTTCTTGAGTTGTTTTGGATATATTCTCCGAGTTTTGGTGAAACAACACTATAAATCGAATAAAATCAACACGGCCTAAAGGTTTGTTCCTGAATTTAGCTTGCTAAAGTGTTTTCATAGGTTTTATGTGTAACTGGCGACAGGACACCATGTTTTTACCAACAAAAAAAACATTTTTTGTGAACAGATGAACTACGAAATATCAGATAAACTTAATATCCCTTTGAGTTTTCCTCCATCTGATCTGTATATCACCCACTGCCTGGTAAATACATCATCGTGTCTGACACCCATGCCTCACAGTTCATTTATTGAAAATGAAGGACTGCAGGCTGTTTCCTGAACAGTGAAAGAAGGTGGAACTCACTACGGAGCGCGGCCTCTCATTGTAGGAGCGCAGAGACACGCTGCAGTCCTGGTCAATGCCCCTCCGCCTCCGGTCAGTCTCGTGCAGGGGCAGGAGCGTGTCCATGGAGCGGCTGGTGTAGGGGTCCATCTGACTGAGGGGAGACGTGTTCTGGGACAGGAGGTCATGGAACTGCCGAAACACACACACAAACAGCAGATTAACGGCCAGGCATGGGCTGGTTTCCCTCATCTTTATGGGGGATTAATCCATGACAAAGAGAGCCTCCTCCGTGGAGAATCTCGATTCTTTTTAGCTCGATTTAATCTGCTTGGGAAATCAAGCCCGGGTATTTGGCTGTTGTGAACTCAGAAATATCGAAGAATCTCTTTCCAAATTTAGGCTACTTCTTCAGAAGGTAAAAAGATCCATTTTCCCAGTAAAAAGCCAGCTCTGGTTGTTTAAGTTGACTCTCAGGCTTGGTCTCTTATTTAATACACACAATCTGAAGCAATTTCAAACTAGCAAAGTCCGACACTGGAGACTATAAATTCTGAGGGCATTAACAGGGCTGTTCTCGTAATTGTCCACATTAAGCATATTTAATATACCAATCAAATTTGAATTGATAGTGTTTTTGAAGTGGTCAAACCACCTGATGTCATCTCATTGCTTTAAGGGAGTGCAGATGGAATACTCTCCTTGGGTTTTTACTGTGTGCTCATGCAGATACGGGTGCACTATTAACACATTTGTAACAATAAAGACACTGAAGGCCAACTCATTTCCTCCATCCTTTCTCCTCACCATTATCGGGGACAGGCGGCGGGACTTGGAGGGAGCCTCTTCATATGGCCTCTCTGCTAGAGAAGCGATGATCCGCTTCCTGTGGCCCAAAGCACCGATCTTAATAACCTAGAGGGGACAACGTGAGGGCAAAAGATGAGAACTTCCACTGAACCATTGCATCCACATCTCACACACAAGACTGAATGTAGACAAAGCTAACGGAGATACATCCAAAATGCACTGAGGGACTTGATGGCATGTGTCCCTCTCTGGCAAGCATCCACTGGAAAACAGAAATGACTTTCGTCAATAATTCAGCCCCAATCTGTTTTTCCACAAGCCTAAAGTGACTCTCTGTATCCTTCTCAGTGCACTCTATAATTTACAAGCTGTTTTTTGGACATAGTGTATCAGAGTCCATACTGACTTATAAGAGAGCATGTAAACTAGACGCGCATTTAATTTTTTCCCCTCATTTAAATGTGTCATTAACACTCTCACTGCTGTGAGTCGACCATAAGCGTTTCCGTTCTGTTGAACAACTTTCCGAGGCGCATCTCTTCCTGAGTTTGAAACGCTCGCAGAGAGAAGCAAAGGTTAATTTCATGGAGTCAAAGCCCATTATCTCAATGCTGGATATTTAAATAATTGGTTATTAACATTCATGTTCATCCAGGAGAGGTGGATGTCGAGTGATTAATGTTACATTTGCAATTATGCTACTGGTGCAAACTTTTTCAGAAGGGCCTCATATGATTCTTTGTTTGACGACTTCCGTTAATTGCTCAGAGAGTCAGAGGCTGATGAGGCAGCTGGTCTCCGTTCTGGGTTCCTCGTGTTGTTTTCATTATCCCTGCTTACAAAATCCCAGCGAGACCAGTCCGCACGAGGCTTGCACAAGGACCCTTGGGATTGTACAAGACTGTAACCTAGCTCGTAGATCATCTGGAAGCCAGCTGCCATTTGCTGTAATATGCTGAAGAGGATGTAAGAAATGTAATGGGCAGAGTGAGTCCTGCCAAGATGCTCAGAGGCAGTTCTGCTACTCTGCACACTGAGAGTAATGTGGCCCGCTCCCACACCCCCATCTCTCTGCATCGCAGTGCGCCGGACACCATCCCTCACACACGTTGCTGCTGCTGCAGCTGTTTCTGCCATTTAATCACCACCGTCTCTGCATGCCTCGTGCCCGCAAACAAACAGGAGCAATGTGAGCTCTGCAACTGCTCATTTCAAAGCTGCTGTTTGATTGCAAACACCATAGATCATCTGCCCTCTTCATGTGACTGTCTGATACCACAAAGTGGGTGTCGTCACTGTAACAATTACACTTTTGTTGAATAGGACACATTTTTTGAAGACATGTGGTGTTTGGTAGTTTCATTAATTCGACAGTAAAACATAATGAAAGTGTGTGGAGAACAAAACTGTGAAATCAAACCATGAAAGGTCCATAAGGTTTTTTGATAGGAGAAAAAAAATCTAATAACTAAGTAGAATCTTTTTTTTTATATCTGATACACCCAAAACCCTTAGATTTAAGGAGTCAATCATGGCTGAACACACACACACACAGACACAAACTGCACCACATAAGAATCAAGCACTGGCAACAAGTTTAACAATAATACATGAAAGCAGTCCTAATGAGGTCAGGAGAATCCACACAGTGCTGGTCTTTGCAGGCATGCTGAAACTGGTCAGCATCTCTCTTGTGCATTAGCCCGATATTGATTAGCCCTCCTCCATAATTACTGATTAGCATAAAATTTTGCACTGTTCCCATAAAGATAAAGTCAAATTAGGCCTTTCGAGTGATCAGGCACTTCCCTCCTAAATTTGCATTATCTGTTAGTTAGTTATTAATTATTCAGTGATTTTTATAAATGTTTAAGCTTTAGTTTTATGCTAATTTTTCCATCAAAGAGCAGTTCTTCAGTTTTGTAAGGCTGTATTTTTAAAGGATTTCTAAACTTTCATACCCAAGCCACAAATTGAGGTCTCACTTCTCATTTAGGCAAAAATCAGTGTATTCTTACATTAACAATTTCCAGCTCCCACAGGTTCTTAACACACTCCAATGTGCGGTAGCCATTCGAAAGAAAGTTAGGCAGATATTCATGCAGGCCAAGGCAATCCAGCCAGGAGGCGAGAGACGTGCTGCCATCACAGCCCAGTGCTTTTACCTGCAGAGAGAAAGAAGCCAGTAAGTAATTGTTTTAACTTAACATAGACATTCTAGCGCACTATTTCCAGGTATTTTTTAAATATTACTAATGTTTGAGATTCTATGTCTTGTCATGTATTCAGTTAGAGCTGCTGTCATTTCTGCTAGAGCAGCCACACAATGGATTTTTTTATTATTACATTCAGTAAAACAAATGTTCCCGAAAGAGGGAACAGAAACAATCAACTGCTGTTATTTGGTTGAATTGGTCCATCACTCAGTAAACAAAGCATTTGACTCTTATGGCATGTCATAACAAACTTTTTTAACTTTTTTTAAAGATCAATACATTTTTTAAAAATCTGATCAGAATTTAAACACCCGATGTCAGTTAAACTAAGCAAACACATATAAAATAAATCTGCTGAGGGTTCCTTGGTTAATCAATCAATCTAAATCTAAGTAAATCAATCTAATACCATTTTCAAAGCCTTAGCCACAGGTCAATAAACCAATACATGGTTTCATTTCTACTAAAGCAGCGTGAAAAGAATAGAAGAGAAAACTACTTCAATGATCCCTTTTGGGGAAAGTTCTCATGATTCTAATCATACACTTTGCACCTCAGAAACTGAAATGTTTGCTTTGTTAATGTGCAGAGAGTCATTTCAGCACTTATTGGTTGTCTCTATCCTCTACACAAACCTTCCTACTGCTTTAATCATCCATTATTCGCTTATCAGCAACCACTGTGAAGGTTTTTTCGATCTTTTTCTTAATGACACTGTCATTTGTCTCGCTCTGTGTCGGGCATAAGGTATGATGCTAAGTACCTTGGGCAAGCCGCGAGCAGCGTGGAGGATTTTCTTTCTATGTCCAGGGTCAGTGATGCCCATGTCTCTGAGATCTTGGTCCTCCATCACGTTACTTCCCTGCATGTGCACAAACACGAGAGAAACCAGACGGTTAACACGTTCCCCCACAGATGCAGACTCAGATGCAATCATCAGATACATGCAGGCCTACTGTCACGCTTGTGCACTGAGGTGATACATTGGGCAAAATTGATAGAGTGGAATGAAGTCAGTTAGCGTACACACACACATGCGTGCTCGTATTACAGGACATATTCTGTTCCGTCAGTTGTCAATAAAAGTGTCACAACTTGCTCAACACCACGTAAAAAAAAGGGTAAAAATAGAGCTGCTCTTAATATACACTGCATGCACAAATGCAGGGTGTGCACATCTCTGACACTAGCACTAACAACGGAGTGGGAGGAAAATGAAGTCAAATAAATTGTGCATGCCAAGAGTAATCAATCTAATCTGGGGAGACTCTGAGGGAACAAAGCCTCCACAAGAGCAGCAGAATCATTTACAAGATCCCTCCGCTGCTGTGTTTCACAGCTGGACACAAATCTACACGCATATTTTAATCGCTTTCAGAAGTAAAGATTGATTCAGGACATGGAAACAATGGGCAATGATTGCATTTCACATCCAGAGTGTTTACTGAAGATGTTTTCTTTCAAGGATATGTCCATAATGGGTAAAAGCTCCTTTTACTTTTGTGGCGTTTCCATTTTGCAAGCAGGAGTGCTAAGGCCACACCACTGTGGAGCTAAATGTAATGTAATTTTTTCCGTGTGGCCTGCCACGAATTGATTGTAGTTTTTCTGTAGTTTTTACTCGGGCTGCTCTCACTCGATTGGTTTGTGAGCACAATGCAGCAGCATCCACACACAGGCCTGTAATCGGACGCAGATGGAAGATTAGTCTCTGATTGGTAGAGTAAAGGTCAAAATGAAATGGGGTTGAGCGTAACAGAGGCCTAAAATAGATCCTTCACTTTTATGAACACACTATGAGGTTTTGTGATGCGTCTGGAGACTTGGCAAACTTGTTTCTCATTTGAAATCATGTGACATGAATGTATGGTTCAGCTCTTACATTGCTTATGAGCCACAGTAGTTTGATTTAATCAGATACGACTTGCAGATGTAGCCATGGTAGAAGTTCTTCATCTCACTAAATACACTCCGAAAGGGAAGCAGTGAATTAGAATTGCTCTGCTGGCCTGCCCGACAGAAAAACTGTTCAGTAAATCCAACTTTGTTACTTTCTCAAAGGTTATAAACCAAAGGGATGAAGAAAAAAAAGGTGTTTGTTTTCTAATATGTGTGTTCTGTTTTGTATAAACCACAGGTTAATGGAATGTTAATGCAGATGCAATGTAAATACATAATGGGGAACTTCTAAGGTCTTATTTAGCAGACAATTTCCCACACTGCCACTTTCATTTGGGAATTAGATAGATGAAGCATAATCCTACAAAAGAATGCAAAAAGGAGAGAACACAACTAAGTAGAATAAATGTGCTGAAATTAAGGGCAACAGAACGAAAGCCGCGTACGCCCCACTTCTGTTAGCATGAAAGGAGCACAAACGATCATTGTCGTATAAAAGTGATGAGAATGGGCACACAGCTGTTCATAATTTAAGATCCCTCAAAAGCCCCATCGCAGAGCAGTCGGCACATGCAGAGAGCGTTCCCGACTCCTCTGAGAGCTGGTGGGTGGCCTGCAGGATAGCGTATATTCAGCCACAGCAGAATTGGTCTGTTGGTACAGTCATTTCTGCAGAATGTCTACTACTTTCAGTACACTTTTGTCAAGGTTTCGCTCTTATTTTAAGATAAATGTTCATACAATCAAAGAAAATCAAGCAAATGAGAGTTAAAATAAACCACATTGCATTCCCATAAGTAGGTCCCGACTGATCATATGTGAAGCAAGTCTGACATAATCTAAAAGGGCAGAATATTAAACATTCACAATGCCCGCCTGACTACTCTGACCTTTCTCTTGTTTGCAGCCTCCACATCCTTGTAAATATCCATGGGTAATTTGCCTTGTGAGAACGATGATTTATCTACTTGATACATCAAGTCCAGCAGACACATTAGTTGTGGCGTGGAAATCTGAATGCCTGATGACCCACACCCCTCATCGCATTAGTTCCCAGAATTCTTATCAACCTCAACTCAAAGATGAAAATTTCTAGAAGTATTCAGACAGCAGATAATTTGCTACAATTCCTAGAAATATAAACAGATTATATGACATGTCTTTGATGCATATTGATGATTTGAGTTTACCTCTTTGGTTACGCATTTAATGAGTTAAAACAGTTTTTTGCTGCTTTTTAGCTTATAGTAGTAGACATTTTTGTATATAACTAGTGGCTTAATTCTTTTAGTTACCTTTCCATAATTCCAGTCTCACACAGGTAAAATAAATTAAGTTAGCGTAAGTAGAGAAGTTGTATAAGACCAGAAAACAATTCCAGAAGATACTTTAAAGTGAGGGCAATGGTGCAATAATCCTCTCCTCACACATGGTAATAATTCATCATTAAAAAATGGCTAAGGTAAAATATCTAAATTATTTCAAATGTCTTTGGCATTTGATTCTTACATCCAAAATAGTCAACGGATAAGCATTAATGGATAATTGATTAAGTGGTCCAGCTCTGATCCATCAAAAAAACCCATGATATATTCCTCATCCATCCATCCATCCATCCATCCATCCATCCATCCATCCATCCAT